CCTGGAAATGCTTCAAAGACACTCTTGTATCGATCATGGACTGGGCCAAAATAGAGGAATATACCACCGAGTTCAAACACTCATGGGTAGACCCTGCAAACAAGATCAGAACACTGGACGGGGACCGGAATATCAAATGGGAGCCCTGGTGGATGGACGAATGTAGCTGGCGAGGGAAACCTATGCCGGCCTCACCCGACAGTCCCCAAGCAAACCGGCCCTGGTGCAACCCCTGCCCAACTTCAACAACCAACGGGGCATCATCCAAGAATGGAACCCATCGACTCTACCCCGCCCCTCCGACCCCCGGCCCCCAAAGACACCCCCTCCCTCACCGGACGAACATCCATCCCAGACCCCTCCCCCCACGCTCAAGCAATCTACTCGCCACTCCTTGACACCCGGCCTCCGATAAACCCCTCGCCCCCGACAGACACCACCCCCATTTCCGGAGGAGCCCCTGCCTCATACTCCATCCCCCCCTTCAGCATCAGCGTCGCCTCAACCATCCCCCCCCACATTCCCAATACCCCCCCCGGCTTTTGTAAGCAACCACCTCACAGATGACCCCTCCCCCCACTCTTCCCCCCTCAACCTCACTAACACTCACCCCACCTTCTCCAGGTCTCGCCCCCTCTGTCCGACCTCCCCACCACACACCCCGATCGATGGATGATGACACAAACCTCGGGGAGTCAACACACCTGCCAACATCTCCCCCGCTCCTCGGGGTGTGATGCGCAACCTCACACGAGGCAGAGGATTTTGGGCAGAGGGTGAATTGCCCAGATGAAACGGGGGATTCTCGCCTCAGTCTCAGGGTCGCTCCAACATCAGGCCCGATGGACATGGCTCAAAAGGAAAAACAAGGAAAACTTGAGGGGCAAGTTCGGACTGTGCGGGGTATAAACAAAATTTTGCTCCGCCGCGGGCTTAGGGGCAGGGTGCGACTCAATAGTCAGCCGTGAAAGAGATGAAAGCAAGGAAGAGAAGACGTGGAATCTACCGCTTTTCTGCGCCAGGTTCACACCATCTTTATGGCAAGGACCCAAGAGATAAGGGACATCTTAGGCCTTCGGGTCAGAGTCATCAAGTCCACGAGGTTGGCCAGGAGCCTCGTCGTCGTTCGAACCCGGCGAGGCTGGGTGCACCCATGTTCGAAAGCTCGCCGGTAGGGATGCCGCTTTGCGGGAGAGTTCTGGGAACCAAGCCGAACCTTCGTGCCCCAGTACCAGCCTTAGCCAGGAACACAAGTCTCCTCGCCGGCACCAGTGGCAGTTAAACTGGGGCTTCCACATGGCGTGGGCAGCCGACCATGGCAGCACCGTCAAATCTATGTAACTTAGGCAAGATCAACAAGGGGGGCAAAAACCGGTCAATTGGAATAAACCCACTCCCGCCTATGTGACAAGCCTTAGACTCCGCACATCCGCATCGCAATACACGTTGTCCTCATCTGCAATCAGGAACAGCGGAAGAGTGTTATGGTGGATCGATAGGAGGCTTGAGCACGGGCACTCACCCACGCTCACGTTCAGCGTAGCGAATTTCGACTCCATATACATCCCAACGGACCCAGCGCATCGAATTTCAAAAATGCAAGTTCAAGGACACAGCGTAGTCAATCACCAAATTGTTACCAGGTCAACACGACTATGGCCGGGTAGCAAAGAGATCGGGCAGGGTTGACTAAACGCCTACGCCTGATGTCCCTGGTTGCCGGCGATCAGCCCAAATGAACGTGGGAAATACTGACACGTGGCACTTGCGCTCGAGAGGGGAGAGAGGGAAAAGTTGGTGACGATTCCCCGCACTCACTGGTAGCGCCGGGATCGACAAGGGTCGGGAAGAAAAGAGGGAGATCAACGTACTCATGCATACAGGCAGGCGTTTGACACTCACTAACTCCCCAACGTCGCGCCTAAGTTTGCCTTACAACCACGACATCAGTCCACATCCATACACTGATGTATATTGGACAGCAAAGCATTCAACATCCACAACCCTCATAACCAGCATCATGCATGCGACCGAGTATCCACACTTAGTCAAGTGCACACACGACACTTGGACAAAGCAGCAATGGAGAAAAGAGTGAGTCCCTTGCTATTCAAAATTCCAACAGTGCTGGCCTCCCTGAGGCGCAGCCACCAACCACCCCGAACATCAGCCAACCATAGCCACAAGGCCCTGCCGCTGGCTACATTCTATCTCCACCACCGCTCGGTCCGTCCGATTGCTTACCCCAACTCTACTGCTGATCCCACCCCACGCCGTCACTCCGCCCGCCACTTGGGCACGTCGAGCCTGTTTGGCGCCGTGGTCTTCGCGCATAGCTCGCGCAGCATTGTAGCCGAGATCAAAGAGGAGGAGAGGAAGGGGTTGTGAGGATTTATAGCGCGAAAGACGGCGGGGCACCAGGTCTGATGCGGGCAGCAAGGGGTGTAGGTGAGCAGGACAGGAGAAAGGAGGAGGTTCCGGAAGGGTCGAAGAAGGCGGGGCGATTGACAATTTTGTTCAATTGGAGTGGTCGTTCAAGCTGCGCAGAGAGGTAAGCGGAGGATCTGACACAGAGTTGGGGGAAGACGAAGGGGCATGCAAGGAGGGGCGTTCAGCAAGAAGGGAAGATGGCGTGTGTTTGCAGAGCAGAAAGCGAGTTTACGTGGGATGCAAGAATTCAAAAATGACCATGTGCACTTTGGTGCAAAGAAAATTTGAATGCCAACAACCAAAATTCCTAACTGTTTCTTGAATTCCTCTGCGCGGTCGTTAACCGTCTGTGAAGAGGACTAATTTGAAGGAGGACAGCCTGGACAGGGGCAATTCCAAAAGATGCATGCATTTAATCCCCAAAATTGGAACATCGACCCCGCTTTCCTTGATTGGCTAAGATCTGTGCTTTGGGGCTTACTTCAGGTTCCACTCCAAAGGGTACGCGAAGCCGCAAAGTATGGATCCTGGCTTATTACAGGG